GCATCAGGTGGCCAGAATACTGGAGCTTCAGCATCAGTCCTTCCAGTGAATATTCAGGGTTGATTTCCTTTAAGATTGACTGGTTTGATCTCCTTGCTGTCCACGTTAATACTAGCTGTTTCTTGGCTGGAACAGACTGAGATCCTTGCCGTGGCCAGGTGTTAACATGTCTGTGGTGTCCTGTAGACCTCTCACTCAGGAGGAGATTGCTGAGAGGCTAGAGCGTGCAAGACGAAGGCATGCAGAGAAGTTGGCAGCGGCGCAGGGCCAGGCACCTGTGGAGCCCACCCAAGATGCAAGCACCCTTGAAATGAGTCCACAGGGAGAAGAGCCAAAAGGTAGAGCTTTTCTCAGTAGTTTCCCCATCCTCGGTGATACGGATGGGGTTTTTGCCAAAGTTGGAACACTCATCCTTCTGCTCTTGGGCTTTTAGTTTTGAAGATAGCTTTCATCAGTATACTTCTGTCCTTGGTGTTTCCTCGCTCAGTCTCAGCTAACAACAGTGTCTTCCTTGTCACCTCTCTTTCTTAGCAGCTCCTGGATGCAGAGAGCATCTGGGCACTCATGGTCCTTCTGTTTCTGGCAGGTGATGAGCAGGAGGTAGAAAGTGAGCCCCCCAAACCCGTGCCCTCAGAAGGAAGCAAGCAGGAGTCTTTTATCACCTTCACTCAAGTGTTCAGTGGTGTGGTGTGAAGAGGAAAGAGAATTTTTGTCCTGGGACCCAAATACAGTCCTCTTGAGTTTTTGCAGCAGGTAAGAACAGGAAGTAAAACACTCGTATACTGTTTCGTGGTTCTGCTTTCTTGTTAGACTAGTGATTACCTTCTTGGTAGATGCGTTTGATCTCTAGGGAGGTGCATTTGAGTGAATCTGTATACTTCCTTTTGTGTCACTTTGGTACCATTTGATAAACCTGTCTCAAGTAATAGCATTTAGGAAGTTAGACTAGTACAAGAAGCAAGTTTTCAAACCTTACTTAGTTAATTTACAAGGCTTTTCTAGAAATTCAAAGTTAGAGGAAAGAACTGAGAAGAACAGATGTCATGGTGGAGCCAGGACGATGCCAGGTGTTCAAGACATAAAAATCCAAAACCCAGGTGGCACGAGCCAAAGGCATGGGCGGTGAGCAGGTGATAGGCAGCGGTTTCTTGGCAGGCAGATCCCAGAGATTGACCAAGAGGGTCTGACAGTCGGTGAACAGCCAGCATCTAAGTATGTCTGGACCAAAGGGGAAAGAAGAAACCACAAGTTAGAGCTCTAGAGCTAGAGCTTTGCAGTGTGAGCGTCATGTGTCTTCTCGTCAGAGTCCCTGACGTTTCACAGCACACTGTCTCCCACATTAACAGCCCAGCCTAGAATAGTGACTGTTTGGACCTTACGTGACATTTTTATGACATCTAACTACTCTTCAAAGTTATTCATTTTCCTGTGTTACTCAGCACTAGCACCAGCCCTTGTCACATGCTCAAAGGACATTATAAAATTGTAATTGACATGACAATATAATAATGTTAAAGCTATTTTAAGTGATAATAGTAACAATGAGTGTTAAAATAATAATTCTGGTGTCCAACAGTGTCTGACACAGTTCATATAAATACTGGCAAAGAGTATGGGGATTTTCATGTGTTAATATCGTGCTACCAGGTCACAACAGAATTTATATTAGCGATAAAGTTTATGTGGAATTCTTGACAGGTTTTATGTATATGAGAAGTCTCTAGTTCAGAATTTACTCATAGACTGAGACTTGTTTTTATATCACACCGTTTCAGATGTGAAACGTTGTTTGTGAATGTTTTGGGTTTACATGAAATGTGACTGCACTATATCTTACTTATGAATCAAAGTAACTTTGTAGGTATTAACCCAAACCTGTTTTCCTTTGACGTCTCCTAACTTGGCTTCTGTTCTTTTTTCTTTTTTGCCCAGGTGCCATTAGGCTTCTCAGCTCCATTAGAGGACCTTCCCCAGCTCCCCCACGTGACGTGCCGTACGTTGGAAAACCTGTACCTTCTGATGGGAAGGGAACTGGAAGACCTCGAGGAGGTGCCTCCAGGAAACGTGCTAGGTAGCGTGTGCTGTGTGTAACATCTGAGCTCCGTTCCGAGACGTGGCCTGACATGTCACCCAGAGCACGTGAGATCTCTGAGGGAAATGACTTGGATCTCATTCTTGTTTATTTATTTATTTATTTTGGTTCGTGTCCTTTGGTTTTAACCTAGTGCATCTCAGTAATCAGCATGTACAGTAGTGCTGTGCTGCGCTTAGTCGCTCAGTCATGTCTGACTCTTTGTGACCCCGTGGACTGGAGTCCACCACGCTCCTCTATCCATGGGATTCTCTAGGCAAGAGTATGGAGTGGGTTGCCATACCCTCCTCCAGGGGTTCTTCCTAACCCAGGGATTGAACCCAGGTCTCCCTCAGGAGGATTCTTTACTGTCTAAGCCAGCAGGGAAGCCCAAGAATACTGGAGTATGCAGCCTATCCCTTATCCAGGGGATCTTCCCGACTCAGGAATGGAACTGGGGTCTTCTGCATTGCAGGCAGATTTTTTTTACCAGCTGAGCTACCAGGGAAGCCCATGTACAGCAGTAACTTGCTGTAAATTATGTTAGAAAAGAAATAAAAAGTAACTGCTTAAGAAATCTGTGAATAAGCTGAGGTTCCATTCATTTGGGGATGAGAAAGAATTTCTGCTCACAGTAAAGTTGGTTCAGATGAATAAGACACTTCTGGTTCTAAAGTATCAGAAACTATTCTGATATAAGGGTCTGTCTTCTTCCAGGATTTTTTAATCCTTTGAATGTTGTTTTATATCATAAATGCATACATACTGTTCCTCATCTCCATAATGTTCATTACTTCTTTGCAGACTTCACTTTTAAAGGTCCTCAGTGCAACCTTGAAGACTCAGATGAAGGAATTTCCCTTGGATCGTCACAGTCACTCTGAGTGTGATATGGAATGCTGGGTCCCGTTCTGAACCCTTGGAGTCCTTGTCAGATGTAGAGCTATTTACGGGGGAACTCCTTGGGCTCCAGCTTCTTTTTATGTTTTAGAGAAATGGTCTAGACTGCTGGTCTGGAGCTGCTGGATTTTGTCCACTTTAGTCCAAGAAATTTGTGTTTTGATGCTCCCTTGCAGAAATACATTATTAAAACTTTTTTTTCATTGCTTTTTTTGGGGGTCATGAATTTGTAGCCTATCCTCAGTATTGCCCATTCTTTTCACCCCCTTTGGAAAATGCTGTTGTACCCTAACAATTGACATGACTTATGAGCTTCCATAACCAGCAAAACATTTTTTATCAGGAAGGACATGGGAAGATGAATAGAAAGCACTCTGTTTTTGTTTATAAGCCTTCCTTGTGATTCCTGTATTCCTCACACTCAATTACTTTTGTTTCTTAAATGGAAGGTGAGGTGGAAGATCTCTAACACAACATTCAAGTGAAAAGAGAAGTACTCAATAAGTGTTCAGCGCATGGTTTCTGTCGTATCCCCTCCAGTTAAGGGTCGTTGTTTGTGCTCTCTCCCCAGCAGAGGTCAGGAACATGATGTGCAGTAGTTCTGGTTTCCTTCTGCCTATTTATAGATTGCCGTGTGTTGCTCAGCCCTGAGGTCAGTTGTGTTATGAGCAGGGAGACCATGTCTCTCTCATCTGCCTCCTAAGGCAGCCATAACCCTGCTATCTGCAGGAGACCTACCACAGATTCAAGCTTTCTTTGTCTTGGAGAAGAGAGAAATACCTCATTCTCTTTTACTGATCTTTTGAAGTTATTTGGGAGCAGTGGTAGGAGCTAGGGTTTGGTAAAGGTGCCCGTTGGTTAAGCATTTGTTTACCAAATTCAGTTGTTAAAAAAATAAGATGGACACACAACTTTGGGACAAAATGAATTAAAGAGAAAAGTGAGATATATTTTGTAGAAGCATTAGGATTGTATTTAACTGCCAGTGATCAAAAACCAACTGCACAGTCTTCAGTTTCCCACAGTGGGAAGATTAGGGTAGAGGATGGACAGTTGAGGACTGGTGCCGTGGCTGTCTTATGTCATCAGGGAGCAGGGCCCCTCTCTTCACCTGTTCGCAGTCCTTAGCATGGCGCTTTGTCCCCATGGAACCAAGATGGCATCTGCATCGACATTGCTGGCAGGAAGAGGGCACACAGGCCAAAGGCCTTCTCACAGCACTGATGTTTCATTTATTTTTGTGGTCATTAGTTTATTTATTTTGGGTGATTTGGTTGATGTTACTTTAAAACCCTTTGGCAGTGACCACTCCATATATGGTCTATTAGATATCTAAAATATCTCTTACTAAGAAGTGCTCATAAATAGAGGCTTTATACATCTCTCCTAAATATCACTTGTCATGTGTGTTCTGATTATTCCATTATGCCAGCTTTCACCTCTCTCAGTAGGGAACTAGAAACTAAGATATGTTTGGGATGAAAATGTCTGGTTTGCTCTGTGGAGTGATGAGGAAGTTCACCGGTTTGGATGTGGGAAGTGTGGGCAGGTGTGAAGCAGAGCTGGTGTTCAGCCAGCACCCACTGGTGCCAGTCTTAATGTATGGAAACACCGCAGCCTGAGGTTGGAATAAGCAGGCACTACTCCCCGACCCCCCCTGCCTGGCACCTTTTTTCCCCCTGGACTTCCCCATAATCCAGAGCTAAAGGGTTAAATCTGGCACATCTGGGGTCCCTGTTGAGCAAGCACTGGTATTTTTATTTGGGAAGAAATGCCCTGTTAGTGACCAATGTATTATACATATCCTCGCTTCTTTGTGATTTTGTCATGTGGTCACCCCTAGCTGCAGTGAAAGCCAAAGGTCGAGTCTCTACAAGTAAGGCAGGGGATATGGGATGGTGAATGGTTTTTGAAGAGCCTGTCCACACTCTCAACCACATTTCCTCCACATTTGCCTGGTGTTGCCTGAAGCCCCTTCATTACGGTTCTGTTTCTTTACATTAGGGAGGAAGATAGTCTGCCAGAATGATTATAAATGCAACATTGAAGGGATTGGAATCCAGCCAGTCTCAGCTTACCTTCTAAATTGAAGCATACAGAAATTGTTTTCTGTCTATTAACCTAGATCTATTCGAACCCTGTGCTTGACTATAAAGCATGAGTATACCAAAATTCTGCTCATAGTTCTGTCACTAACTAGTATATGGCCTCGGGCCAATTGTATAACCTTTCTGGCCCCCAGCTTTCCAAAATAATTTGGATTAGAGTAATTTCTACTGACAATCTTATTGTAAAAATAAAACAGCTACTTTTTTTTTTTTCTAAAACTGTTAGGGACTTTCAGAGCTTCTTTTATTATATTTATCATATATCCTAAAGTTTAAGGATAGAACATTAAACAGCATTATGTGGATACATTTTATTACTGTAGCTATAAAATGTAAACAAAATTTTATGTACATCATGTTTCTAAGATACATACAAACTCATGAAAAATAAAATACAAACCAAATTCAAGTTTATAATTGCTGTTATATTATGGCGGGCTGATATTTCAGTGAGGATAGAGTGAGATAAAAGTGCTTAGTACTTTTGTCATAAAAATTGTCCCTGGATTATGTCAGTATACCACTGATTGAAAAAAAGTCCTAGACTAGATCATCTCCAAGGTCCCCTCTAGCTTTAACTTTTCAGGCTTGTGTTTTTTAAAGAAAAATCTTATGTCAGTTATTAGGACATTTCTCTTGCTAGTATTCCTTAGAGGAACAGTAAATTTTTGATATGGTTACTAGGTTGGGTTGAGAAACCATTTCAGTGGCTCCATCAGAACATCTTGAACTAGTTACCAGTTTGAAAGGCAAATTTCACTTGTTCGTTGATTTAAAAACTGGAGTATATGTAGCAGTAGTAGCAGTTTCATAAGCCAGGTGTTTAATACAACCTTTTGGAGTGAGGAGTAAGTTTAAGGCAGGACAGGGGTGTGTTAAGAGTTGAGAAGCAAGAGAACAAGAGNGATGGAAATTTTTGTTGGAGAAGGAAATGAAAACATTATATGGCATTCTTGAGCAAGTCAGTGTATAGAGTCAAAGTCTAAAGTAAAGTTCTTTTACTGGCACTTGAAAAATGCAGGTTTCACATTTGAATTCAGCTATAACTCACTTGGAATACTTATACCATCTTATAAGTGTGGTTAGATTTTATGGCCTGGAAATAGTCAATTGAAAGTTGAAAATCATTTAACTCCAACCTGATGTTTGAAAAGTTGATAGAGATGGGACTGCAGAGACCTTACCAGGTTGAAGACACAAATAGTCTTTTGTTCAGTTCTCTGCTGAGAGTATCTCTAAAAACAGAAGTTTGCTCCAGGCTCCTATTAAAATGTGAGGGGAATTGAATTAGGATTCCAAATCTTGAGCTTTCTCTCGTGCACTTTCAGATCTCTTCCATGTGGTTAACACTTTAGCATTTCAGGGGCATATTCCAAGAGGAAACATGACAGTTCTCTTTTTTCAACATAAAGAAAATAAATATTAATTAGCCTTTTTCTGAAACAGTTTTAGTTTTGCCATGGTTGTTTGCTGGGTTGGTAGGAAGTCAGTATGCATCGAATGGGGAGAGAGTGTTTGTGTGTGTCCTTACTCATGTGGGGTGACTGAAGAGTCAGAAACCTTTGAAGAGTTTTATTAGCAGATTTGATTTGATTGTTTCAAGGGAAAGCTCAACATTTGGTGACTCTGAAGCCTTTGTAGTACTTTTGTAATACTTTAAATTCACTTACTAGTGGATTTCTTTTAAATATACTTATTATCAGCATTTCCACTTGGAAAGAATAACCAGCACCCTTACTATTCATTTCTTAATATTAATAGTTTCAGCTGATTTTTAATAACTTTTGTTTTATAGATGGTAATTTATTCTCTGATTTTGTAATAGTTGTCTTATTTATTTTTATTTTTATATTACCTGTAAAGGTATGATAAATAATAATCGTTATAGCTGCTCATCTGTCTTGTTCCTTCCTGACTTTAATGGAAATATTCCTAGTATGTTAGTTACAGGTTTGCTGATGCTCAAAGATTCATATTTTTTAATCATGCTAG